CTTAGCTAGAGTATACTTGATTTCGAAACTAGTCGCATTTAATAAACATTTCCTGTTCATACCATATTTTATAGGGAATTGGTGGATGTAACTGCAAATTGTTGCGGATATTTACAAAATGTTGTTATGAGGTATTATTGTACGTCATTCGCGATTTTCGTGACAAGGTATACTATAAAGACTTTTGGAAGACATTCCTACAGCCGTGAAGTGGGTGGGACAAATAAAATATAAAAATGACAAACCTTTTTTGCCGCCATCCAAAAAGTATACTAGGCACACAATACTAGAAATACAGGCTGCCGCTATGACAATAACACATACGACTGCTACACGTTTTTCTCTGACACTGCAGGTTCGATTGCCTTTGTTGTCAAAGTCACTTGATGGTTGGATTTGTGTTTTCTTCATGATGCTTTCCACAGTAAGAGAGGCAACGAAGAGTGTCACACAACAACGTTTTTGTCGACGACTGATTTAACTATAACAAATAAGTGTATATACAGTTAGCGTACAATGGAAACAGGCTGTTGTTACTAAGCAATATCCACATAAGGTATAAGGAAGTACCTGTCCCCGAGAATGCGGAAATATTGTGACCTGTATCACCTCAATTATTCGAATTCTCGTGTTCGCGCACTCAGTAGAACCTTTGTGGTTATTCAATTTTTTGGATCGTCTTTTATATACAAATCTGATCTGATGCACAGCAAATAAGTCTAATTGAAAGAAAAGTGAAGCTGCATTATCTTCAACACCTCTGTTTATTCAAGCCAAGAATCACGCTGTGGTTTCATGATGATTTCTTAACATGAAAATAGACAGTATCTTTGCAACTACAAGCTGACTAGTATGTTATAGTGAAACACCACGCGACGTTTTAACTTGTCCATATGATCGTAGATGAAAGTCAAAGTAAATAAAGGGAATAATGTATATCTTCCTTGTTTTTTGCTGTTGTAAAACTTTTTTCTTGCGGTTACAATAACTCAAACAGTTTTTTTCCAATTTCTTTCAAACTCGGATATTATATCAACCTGTATTGATTTTCCGTCATGTCCGGTTTTAGTACGTGTTCTATGTATAATTTTCAAGATAATCCCTAAATGTCGCATACAATTTTATTATTCTTGTAGTTATAAAAACTGAGACAATTTTTCATCTTAAACTTTGGGACTGTGAGTGAAGAAATAAATGTTGTCAATCAAATATTCAAGCATACTGACGATGTTAGCTTCGGTGTAAAAGGTTATTGTTCAATGAAATGTCATGAATTTGTTTTTGCGTATCTGTTGACCGACTTGATTAGCTGATTATTAGCGAATTGCTGTGTTATGTCTGTCATCGTTTAGGCCTATTTGAAGTTTTGGACGGAACTTGGCTCAGTGATTTGGAACTAATTACCAGATAACCGTCGCGATTCTGACAGTTGGTATTCCATAGTTATTAATGTAATAAATGATTAATCAAAAGATATGACGTGTTCAGTACTTAGTGTGATTGGCTGTGTGCTTGAAGGCCACGCCTTAGAGTCTTAATACTGCTTTGTAATTGGTTAGAGTTTTGAAAATGAATAAAGAGAGTTTGAGTTGGTCTTGGGGAACACAGCACGATAGACGCAGTAGAGAGAGTGCAGTCCTGGAGAGTCGAGTCGAGTCCTGGAGAGCCTTGGGGCGAGTGTTGACGCAGTCTAAGAGAGTCTTGGGTCAGCTTTGTGATAGTCTTGGGGACTTTTTCCCCAGGGCGCTGTGTCTTATAGAGTGCTCCACAGATCGACTAAGACGAGAGCTGAAACGTATTTCGTTGTGTGTGTCTTATTTGACTGTAAAGTTAAAGTGACTTTCCCGATCCCGTACCTCAAGGGGACGCGATAGAGAGACGAGACGAGATTCCCCCCTGACATTGTGGCGAACCCGAGAGTACAAGAAGATTTTACACCTGATAGAAATGCATAATATGTCCCTTGAATTATCTAAATTGGGTCACCAGAATGCTCAGGACACGAAACATCGGATCTTTTTTTTTCATCTGCAGCTTCAAGTAACTACCCACTATTAAATACATCAAGACAGGAAGTTAACAATACAGGCACGTTTATGGAAACATTTACTGTTAAATTTAAATGTTACTTACAGCATAACTGGCTAAATTACATATGTAGGTTTGAGAAACATATACATATCGCCAATTTGAAACAGCGTTACAGCGGGAAAAATATCTTACTTCGGTCACTATAAACTCACATAGAAAAACCTTAGCAAGTTTTCATTGCTCTTCGCATAGCCTGCGCATCGAAACCGACAGGGGTACACTTGAGAAAGACCAGCGGCTTTGTAAAGTATGTGATGCAAATGAAACTGAAAACTATTACCACTTCCTTTTAGTATGCCCATTTTCTAAATTTCGTCAATTGTATCTTCCAAAACATTATTTCAACCCTCCATCTTTTCATAAATATGTAGAATTATTTACTTCATAAGAAACCAATATAATTAAATGTTTGGCAGCCTATGCTTATCACACATTGAAACTTTCTTTTAATTTAAGTACATTTATGTATATACTTTTATGGGCCGATGGCCTTGAAATTGTAAATAAAGACCACATAAAACCAGTATCTCTCAGCTGGCACCATATTTGCAACATCAAATGAATTATTAGAGAAATCTAAACCAGGTACATCTGAAGGGACTGCAAAACAGTCATCAGAATTATCTATTCCTCTAACCGCAGTCACATTACAACAATTGTCATGATAAGCAAATCTAATTACACTCTGTCCTTCATCTGCACTGTAGAATATTCAGGGGTCCAACTGGTTTCTTAGTAAAGTACTTAATCTAGAAAATTTGGTAACTTTAAGACCACTACATATGACATTTATCTTGCAGTTTGTGTCTACCAATCACTAGTGTCTTGTTTATATATTGTTTAATTTATTATAACTATTCTTTTGTTTGCCCCTTGACAAATCAGCCTGCACAATGACATCTGCATTTTCCATAGATTGTCACCATACTCAGGGCAGGTTTCTTCATTACATATAGGCTCATTCTAACAGAGACCAAAATTAAATCGATATGAAGGTGAGAATCCTGAGAAAATATAAGAAAACATGAGTCATGTCACAGATGCATCATGCTTCCAAAGTACTCCCTGGTCTGTTGTTGCATATGTCTGGGCGTATATTAAAAAGTAATCTGTAACAATTAACACGTTTTCGAAACACCTTTTGAATGTTCAAATGACAGATAGTCAATGCAAATGAGTTCAAGTGGTTCTATAGTACGAACGTTGACCAAACGTACTCTTTCAGAACAAATTTCTTACAATTTCTTAGAATTGCACAATTTCTTCATAAACAACTCCATCATGGGTCAAATAAATTGAGTTCTAACTAAATCCATGGTTCTATCAAATCCAAAATGTACATTAGCCAGTTTGATCATCGCCATCGTGGTAATCACCACATTAGATGGAATTTAACGCTGAAGCTCTGCTGGTAGAATGATAGCCATGATGGAAATGAATTTAATGATTAGGTCACGCCTGTCTAGCGCTGCGTCCTCCAGATTACGAATTTATTTCTATTTTTCTAATGACTTTTGATCAATTTTGACAGTGTTACACTAAAATGAAGCATTTATGCATTTGTGAATCAAAAGCTTATATTCTCAACCTACCAAATATTTGTAGACATTCTACGACTTACAAATAATGATAGTTACGTGTATATCCTTTATTCCGATCGGGTATATTTTAGTTCATTCTCCAACTTTTCAATGATTACCGACATACGCTCATGGCATTCTTAGTCAAAACAAGTTTAATTGGCACGATCATTATTGGAAGTTTATGTATCCAAGTTTCTATTTTACTATGTAGTGGAGTGTCAGTCGATGTTTTCTTTTGTTTTGCGTTCTTTGACTTGTAAATTGGTTGGGTATGTTACTTCACTTGTTCCATACATCCTCACGCAGCACACGAGTTTGCATCACGTGATGTGAGATTTTCGTCGCTTATATCAACTACTATGTATAATTACGTAAGTTGCATATTATCTACGTTTTACATTAGTTATTTACCTTATCATCAGTGAAACTCCATCCAACAGCACCCATATTATCATTCAAATGTTGTAAAATCTTTACTTCAATTATTACACAGGAAACAGTCCCCCGTTTTCGGACTGCGTCCGAACGGGGACTAATAAGTTGATATACCATTGAAGACCATAAAGAAGCAAGAACGTAGACCGTAATTGTGGCAGAAACACATTATATGTATGCCAATTTTAATTTTCACTCAACTGTACTGCTAGAAACATGTTAATGATTGGTGTCAGCTCTATGATAATAAGGAGATACCCAAACAATATCAAAATCCGTAGTCATAAAGAAATGTACAATTCCAAGAATACAAAACATGTGACTAACAATCAACATCACATACATAGTCAAAGCAGTAATTTATGATAACGTTATATGGACCCTGCGGTATACATGAAGTGACGTCAGGTGATTCGAATAGAAAAGGACACATCCTGTTCCATAAAACATTTTATGTTTAAAGTTATAAACAACTGGTTTTTGCACAGTAAATTAAAACAGTGGACACTGCTAATGTGGCCAATGGCTAGAGCTTTTTTCAGTTCACTCTCTGGTTAGTATCCCCATAATGTTCATGACGTAATAACTTGCACTTGAATCCTAAACCAAGAAGATATTCGTGACATCACTAACAAGTTCGATACCGGATTTGCCTCAACTTTGTTGAGGGATCATCATTGCTACTAGTATAAATTCTTAGATAGATGGATTATTCACTGATTTTTGCATATGATGCGTGATGCTTTCACATGAGTGTTTTATGCGGATGTCCTGCCGCTGCCGGCGATGTACCAGGGCAGGTATTTCACCTTTGCCTTAAAAGAAGATACATCACCAGACATAAAAACTGACGAACAATAGATCTTCACCAAAAAGGTATATTTGCGTCGTGATAATGTCACGGTTGAGTCGAAGCTATAATTATACTAGGCATAATCTGATATGTAGAAATCAGACATAGTCTTGTAAGTAGCTCCGCATTGACTCTAATATCATTTACACCGTAATACATCCAGGTCAAAAATGTTACATTCCAAACAAGTATATCCATGCCAATATCTCTTGAATTTATTACATACTAGTTATTATGTAACAACCATCAATTTGTACACGTCTTTGATAATAACAGTGTTGCGCCTGCAGCGTTCACAGCTGGGGTTACATCATTCAGTCGCTGTGAAATAGCTACTAGAAAGACTAATTAACAATGATAAAGTTTAATGAAGAAAATCTGGTATCTTCCTATTCATCTCAGAAAACATTTAGAAGCGTAATTTATTCGCTATTTCAAAACAAAAAACTCACAGTCGAATTGTTAGCACAGCAAGATCGGCACAACCAAATGTATAAATTACACCAATGTCCAAATCAAATGACTGTCATATAAATCATTATTAAATTAAAGCATACACCTCTATTCAAAGAAGTTGTTTGGGAAAGCCAAAAACTTTCCCACCTCTGTTGCTGTTAGCAATAAACCATCGTGATCTTTCAGTTTTCCCGATTTGTCAGCAAATAGGTTAACGCCATTGATGAAATAGTGTGGACAAATTCTGTCGTCAAGCCATTGCTTCAGCTTTGCGACCATTCTCATTATACGTTCAGGAAGACGACAACGATCCCATTCACGACTGTCTGGATACGTTTCACATTGCCAGAACAACAGTATCTGTTTAAGTATGTAATAAAAGAATCATCTAAACGAAATGAGATTGTAATAGTGAACAAGAAACCTATAACAGTGTTGAAGCAGAGACCATTAGGGCGCAGATGACGTTAAAGCATAAAGACATTGCAGCATATAGTAAAGACACAACAGTACCTGAGTTGGCATTTGGGATAAGAGCAACAATCAAATTCCGGTTTTCATTACCCTCAAAATGCGTTTAACTAAACCCAGCAGTCCCCTATTTTTTCTTGGAATGGGTTGAGTGGAATATTATCTTGAACCTTGTGTATTTTGTTAAGGCGATTAAATTTGATGACTAATTTAGTCATTTAATTTAGATTTTGTCGTGAAAAATACAGTAGTCCATCTGCTAAGTTGACTACTAATAACCTCGCGACCATTATTTGATTGATTACAGTCAGCTGAATGGGAGATTTAAACTAGTGAACCAGCCAATCAAAATCATTTATGTTAATGTTACGCTACCTTCAAGTGGAATGACGCAAGTGCTGGCTTATTGGGAGGACAACACCTATTGTCTTCACGCAGTTTCTTTAATATTCGCAAGCACTCCTTTCGGCATCCGCCATCTTTGTCAATTTCTTTCATTAATTCCAATTCACATCGACCGAATGAGGTCAACCTATGGAGTAGTTAAATACATTTTATTTGACTCTACTGATGTGATCATTTTTCTATGATGATACACAACAGGATTTATAAACATGATTATGTTATCAACGATCATTATAAAAATCATTTCTGCGTGCATATTTCTTGAGTATTGTTTGGCGAAAACATTACACTTCTGCTACTTTATCTGCTGGAGGCCAAAGTCTAGATCTTGGCCAGCTTTTTAAGGCTGCTGGCAAAAGTCCTCGTCCATTATCAGGTACTAGTGGAACCAAATCGATAGATATTTCCCCTTGCTTGGTCTGATATGATTAGTGTAATAGCAGGTCCTTGTTCTCGTTGTTTAATCTTTCCTGTATTATGAAGTAAAATATGTTAGTGGTGTAGTGACTGACCTGTGAGTGTATTGGTATTAGTATTCAATGGCCAATATTTTAATATGTCATTCAAATGAGTGCAAATAATAATCTTGTATCTTGCCATTTGTTATAGATATAAGCAAATTATATTTAATAATTCTATATTATACGTACA